ATGGCACAGCAAGTACTCGAGGGCGATGGTTGCGCGCATCACCCTGGACGAAACGTTGCCCCATTTGGGGAAATCCTTCAGCGTCATGGCGGCGCACGTCCACCACAATTTTGCCATCCAAGACTGGGGCCCGAAGAAACTCCATAAATTCTACGAGTGGTTCGCCGAGTACGTCGCGAAGTGGGGCGTCAAAGTCTGCATGGGGGACTTCAACATGTGCATGTTCCAGCTCGCGTCCTGGTGCCGCAGTCGCGGAGTCACGGTGGGCGTCGCTGCGTGGGCCCCCTGGAAGACAGCAGGCGGCCAGCCCAGGGCAGACAGTATGGCAATTATGTTCATCAGTTGCCCTGGGAGATACGAGTTTCGGCATGGCCTGGGCGCCCTGCACGACGGCCCCGGCGGGTTCTTAACAAACCCCCCTGGCGCCTCTTTCCACACCTTCGATTGCGCGAATGGCCCTGGGAAGATGCTGCAGACTTACTTGCCGAAGGCTGGTGCCGTCGCAGACAAGCTTCGCGACTTCGCGATGCCATCTGACGCCTCCGAGGCCGCAGTTGCGGATTTCGAACAAAAGATGGCGCGCCGTGCGCGGGGCGAGTGGGTGCCCAACCCCTTCCGAGTCAGGCAGGGCAAGCTGGGCGACGCGATCTGGAACGGCTCCGTCGGCAAGGCGCGAAACGGAGCGCGCTTCCCCCTGGTGGCTTTCACCCGCAACGCGGGTCGCAGATCACCAGAGAAGCTTGCTGAGAGGAATGAAAAGGAAAAGAAGCGGAAGCAAGAGAAAGGCGCTTGCAAGGGCGGCCAGAAGGGCAGCAACAACGGCGGCGACAAGGACACCGTACTTGCGGGAAAGGGCGCCCGGAGCAACACTGCCCAGAGGGGAGCCGCAGTTGCGGGGGGAGCCGCCGAGGCTGAGCCGCTGGTATCTCACCACCCGGTTTGGGGGTTTGAGCCTTTAGGTCGTGTTCCGACCCCCTCTTATGCCGCAGTTGCGGCTGGGTCCTCTGGCGCCGGCGGAAGCGGCGCGTGGGGGGCGGAGGGTCCCGCGAGGGAGTGGAGGGCGGGATGGCGCGCTGATGAGTGGTCGAGCTGGGCGGGATGGCGCGCTGATGAACAGAAGTGGTGGGATGATAATCGCGCCGCAGTTGCGGACAGTGCCACGGAGGGTTCGCCTCCTAATCGCATGTGGGCGGGCATGCCCGACCACGCGCAGAACGCGGGCCACGCGGGGCCGTGGAACGACCGCGCTCCCTGGACCTACGAAACGACACGTTGGTAATGGCCGCAGTTGCGGGCAAGTGCAGCAGAAGGTTTGTGGCCGCAGTTGCGGGCAAGTGCAGCAGAAGGTTTGCGGCCGCAGTTGCGGACAGCGCTTCGTCGAGACAAGTTGGCAAATCATCATTGACGTCATCGCCATCTTCCTCATCGATTGCCATCACCATCATCATCCTGCAGCTGCTGCCCCCCATGTCGCCTTGCGAGGTAAGCGTTCGAAGCAGTCCCAGGGGACTGCTTTGAAGACAGCCTTGTAGCGTTCAAAGCAGTCCCAGGGGACTGCTTTGAAACGACCTCTCGTCCTCATTATAAGGGCTTCTGGATTAGCAGCCACCACTGAACCGAGCTGACCAGCCTGCGCTGCAGGCTGCGTCTTTGCACTCGCGCCGCCCGGATCCGAAGCCGAGGCAGAAGCGCCTCCAGCCATCACAGCAACTTCTGCTGCCTTGGCCGCCGCCTCGCGCCTCGGACGCGGACAGGCGTCCTTGGGGTGTTCCGTGTTTCCGCAATCGCAGCGCTTCTATTCGCTGGACTGCAGCTTGCGGTGCGGCCACGTGCACGCGTCGCCCTGCTTGCAGCTGGCGTCGGACTCGAAGAACTTGCAGAACTTCGGCTGCTCCGAATCCTTTCCTTTTGGTTCGCGCTCCCCCATGGGGCGCGCTGGCCTTGGCATTGGGGCCGGGCTTCAACGGCTGACCGCCGCCCGTGCCCGCCCCTTCGAGGAAGGCAATCTGGGTCTCCAGCGACGCGACTTTCGCCTGCATCTGCTTGCCCAGCTGCTGGGTCTGCTGCGGCTGCTGTTGCTGCTGCTGCTGCTACTGCTGCTGCGGCTGCTGCTGCGGCTGCTGCTGCGGCTGCTGCTTCGCAGCGTCGGTGAAGACCTCACAAGCCTCGCCGGCCAGGAAGCATCAGAACTCGTCGATCGGGGACTGGCTGCAACTCGCAGCGCCACTGAGGCCCCGCACGAGCTGCCAGTTGTCCATCCAGAACTTGAAATCTTCGCCGGCTTCAGCCAACTTGCCCACCGGCGTGCGCAGTGTGGTGAGCTGGATGGTAGGGTCTTGGGCAACAGCCCTCGGCGTTGCAGCCTGGTGAGGTTAAACTTCCATCACTGCAGCTCGATGTGCACCTCCCTCGGGCCGGCAGGAAGGAACGCTGTGAGCACTCGGGCGCGGGCCGGGGCAGCCCGACTTCTGCGGCGCTCCATTGCGGTCGTCGTGGCAGCTCTATCCCGTAAGGGTACAAGGGCCGCACACGGTAAAGACGAGCTCGCTGCAGCTCAGCTGCCTGGTGGCGAGCGCCTGAGTCTTGATGAACTCGGGCATCGCCTGGAGCAGGTAGGGCCGGTGTTTGTAGTTCACCTGCCTCTGTGTTCCGACCTCTGCCTACGACGTCTGTGGGCAGATGCACGGCCGCTGCAGCGGGTTCACGTGCACGTATTCGTCGTACGGTGAGTTCACCGCTGCACGCAGGTTGCACCACCAGGCTTCGACCTGCGGGTGCACCGACGCGTAGTAGAGAGTGCCCGTTTGCTGCCACTCCTCATACTTCGACGCCGTGCTCCCTCCTGTCCAAGATAACTTGGGCACCTCGTCGCCCTTCAGACGGCCCAGGAGAGCCAAACCTGCTGCATCGGCAGGGCTCACACCGCCAGCGAAGTCACCAGCAGCCGTCGCGGCGCCGAACGCCGAACGGCGGCGGCGGCGGTGGAGGCCCACCGGCACCGCGCAGCCCGAGTCCGCCGAACCGCAGTTGTGCGACCGCCGCTGCTGCGGCTCGAGGGGTGGCCCAGGACTGCTGCGGCTGCTGGCGTGACGTTCATCACGCCCGCCTGCTCGCCGCTCGCCGCTCCTGACCCTGGGACTGCACGCTACTGCACCTCGGAAGCGTTCACGGCATCCGCGGAGAGCTCAACGAACGCCGTCAGTCGGCACTCAGGCCGCGGATGGATCGCCGAGGGCCGCGGCAACCCGGGCTGCTGCGGCATCGGCGCCCTCCTGGCCGATGTCAGCGGCGACAGCCGCGCTCGTTGGCTGCGGAATCGATGGGGCTCACCGACCCGCGGCGCTACCCGCGCCTGGGGTCACGTAGCCGCCGCCTCCGGACTGGTGCATCTCAAATTCCTCGCAGTACTGCGCGTTCTCCGCGCGGAGCCTGACCAGCTCCGCCTCCATGGCCGCTATCCTCTCGGCCATGTCCGGATCGGCACCATCCGCAGACTTAAGTGCTGGCAGCGCGCGTGGGCAGGCAGGCCCTGGGATCTCGGCCACGCCGCCCATGGTCTGCCTCGCGCAGGCCAGCATTCTGCTGGCGAGTCGAGTGACTCCGACCCCAAGCGCGACGGCGGTCACACCGATGACCTGGCCTGCAAGCTGCCCAGAAGCCAGCGCGCGGCCGAATTGCTGCGCGCCGTGCTGGACCGTCGTGGAGCGCCTCGCGGCCACGAAGGCATCCCGCTCCGCGATGCAGGTCGCGCACACAGGGCTCTGGCCGAACACCTGCATGCTGTGGGCGTGCACAGTCCCGCCGCAGTTGTCGCACTGCACGGCGGGCCCCACGACGTAGTCGAAGCTCGCGGCACACTGGCGCACTTACGCCCTCAACTCCGCGCCGTGGATCGTGGCAGCCGTTGAGTTCATAACCCTTTGGATGGACAAATCCCCATCTTGTCCCTGCATTGTTCCTGACGTTCTGCTTCCTGGAAAACGTGGTCACTAGGGGTTCCCTGAGCTATCAAACGCAAGAGTGGATGAGCGGTGGCAGGAGGTATGGGTAGAGGATTGTGGAGGCTGCCATCCACCTGGATCCTGAGTTTCAGCCTAATGAGGGTGTTACAGGTAATGGAGAATCGGAGGAGCAGCCGGCGTCGCCGCTGAGACTGATTCTTCGTCTCACCAGTACAGGCAAAGGATGTTTTTCCTCTGGCCGCCTCATCTTGAGCCAAAGCGGTGCCGGCACACTAACATAATTCAGATGGGCACGGGGTTGGTGTTGCCATTCTCCCTGCGAACACTAAAGTATTAATTAATATGACAGACATACGATGTCACGTTTGCCTGCTATGCCTCATGTACCGCACGGCAATGCATAATGTCAAGATGCTATGCAACGCCATGCTGTGCAATACATTGGAAGCAAATGCCGGTGGGAACCTGCCAAAAGCAATGTTCCAGCAGAGCGTTCTCAGAACATGCCCAAGCGCTGTCGGGCCCCACGTATGTTCTGGCAGAGCGCTTCTGGAATGGAGCCGCATGTGGAAAAATGACGCCCTTGATACGGCAACAATTTGTCTTACGATGCTTTGCCTATCCACCGTGGAATCCTAGAACCAGGATGCCCCCCCCCACACACACACACACACACACACACACACACACACACACACACACACACACACACACACACACACACACACACACACACACACACACACACACACACACACACACACACACACACACACACACACACACACACACACACACACACACACACACACACACACACACACACACACACACACACACACACACACACACACACACACACACACACACACACACACACACACACACACACACACACACACACACACACACACACACACACGCGGAAGCAACCATCATGTCACGAATTTCCGCTGTGCCGAGCCTGTTCTTCCACGTGCTCCCCCCCCCCCCGCCCAACCTGCCAGCCCATGCTCCCTGGGCGGCGGTCCGGCAGAGGCCCCCAGGGCCGTCTGCCAGCAGTGGCTCGACCACTGCGCGCGGCGCAACGTGGCAGGCCTCCAGGAGTTGAAGAGCGAGGAGCCGGGGGGGGGGCAGGCCAAATTCCAAACGCTTCGCGTATCCCCTCCAGCACTTCCAGGAACGACGCCTGCGGGAGCTGCCCTGATCGGGGGAGCGGCGTGGACTCATGTGGATACCTCGGGGAGCCTCAGTGAAGTAGAGGCCTCTTGGATGCCTCTCGAAGTCGCTTGGGAAGTCTCCTATTGGGCTCTTGGTGACCTCTTTTAGGGCGTCTTGGGGGCCTCTTGGGCCGTCTTGGGGACATCTTGGGTTCCTCTTGGAGGCCTCTTGTGGGACTCTTGCGGCTTCTTGGGGGCCCCTTAGGGGCCTTCTTGGAGCCTTACTAGGGCCCTCGTGTCACGGTCACTTCCACGGTGAGCTCCACGTCGCCATTGAGCCGCAGCGTGAGCTTGGACGAGTTGGGCAGCGCAACGTCGAGCAGTACGACTTCGAGTGCGACACACTCGAGCAGTACCGCCCAGCCAGCACCACGGTGAGCAGTGGCACGACGCCGACGGATACGACAAGGTCATTCATACCACGCTGGCCGAGACGAGTTCTCGACGGCCAGTACGAGCGGCACCAGGGGTCGACACTTTAAACGGAGAAGGTTAAAGGCGAGGTATAAATCGAGCATGTACCGCTGCCGTGCCTGGCTCAAGCCGGGCCCGGCCAAATATATGATTGTGCCTCACTGAGGCGCACGACTTGCATCAGAGATCGGAAAATACCTTTTCCATTGACGATGCCCATCCTATCCTTTACTCCAGATCCCATGCTCCGTCTTGCACTCTTGCTCATGCGATATGAGCCAAAGCCTGGGATATGGCAACGCTTAAAGCGTAACACATACCTAAGCGTACCAGCTTGTTTTCGACTTGGTAGCGGAGCTGGCTACACTCTCGTGTGGCTGGCTCTCGCTCTGATTCCTGTAATCCACGGCACAACTTGGTGGACTACTACTACGGTGGAATACCATGTTGCGCCGGCTCTGCGAGGAGCGGAGCCAGTCCGCGATCGAGCTAGCGGGGCAACCCGCGAACTCGAGACGCTCTCTCCTACTTCACTGCGCTACTTCACTCCCGACTTCCACCAGATGCCAATCGGCAACTCGATCGAGAACGTGGTCACCCTGCGGGGCTACCCGCAGCGGGGCCACCTGCATCCCGTGCCAGTCAGGCGCCTCACGGCTACTACGCCAGAGCCTGACAAACCACAGCCTAAACCAATCACCGAAGCCGAAATGCACATGCATTGGATCAAGATAACTATATTCGGCATTCTGTGGGTAATAATGGGATGTGCTGTGGGATACATGCGGCAGGGGATGGACGACACGCGTACTACTGGCCCTTCATGGGACCCTGCCGGTACTACGCCTTTTCGCGAATACGTTCGCGAAGTACATGCATGGTTAAACGTAACGAGTGGCAATATGACACCACCACAACAAGCTGCAGCACTACAACGAGGCCTTCAAGGTCTGGCTCGTCGTATCGCCATGCAGGTCCCCTCCCAGATCATCAATTATGGTGTAACTGTCAATGGACAGCCAACGGATGCAGTAACATATATACTGTACTTACTGAGCACCAAATTTGAAAATCTGGAAGATGAGCGCCAGCTCAACTCTGGCACTGCCCTTATCGACTTTCGCGTCGAAAGGGGCGAGCGAATCGACTCAGTGTTAGCTCGGTTCGAGATGGCCCGTGACGAGGCTAACTCTGTTGGCTTTGTCATCCCCAACTTTCAGATCCTAACGCTGATTCTCTTCAGAGCGTTAGGCGTTGGCGCGTCACGAGCCCAACACCTGCTTGAGCCCTTCAATCATCAGATGCCCCGAACACAAGCAGACTATGACAGGCTGCTGACCAGGATGAGGAACTACGGACATGTTGCCGAGCGCTCTCCTGGCAACATAGCGGGTATCTTCACAGGGCACCACTCACATGCAGGTGTCTACGCCACGACTGCGGGGTCACCCGCTGGTCCTGGCGAGCCAAATCCCTGGGCTGACCCAGCCGATATGCCCAACGAGGCCACTGCCCTTTTAGGGCAGACTGGCCAGGCATCGGCAGAGGCAGCTGAGGCGAACGCCTGGTCGAACTACTCGCCAGGCGCCGCCTACACTGCAAGCCCGCCCTCGGGCACAACCCTCTGGGGCCAAGCGGAGTCATCCGCTCAAGGGTCTCAGCCACCCTCACCGTTTGAATCTGGCACTGACACGGATACCTCATCTGACGATGAGCACAATGGCATAGTCTCTGCTGGTAATGACTACCCAGCGGATGACACTCACCTTTCTGAACAACAAAGAGCGGAAGCCGCCTTTATGGCTTATCGCAAATCAAAACGCCGTTGGAGGCGCTTTATGAAGAAACCAGTCAGAAAGGTGAGACGTGCAGTACGCCGACATTTCAAACGATTTGGAAAGGGTCGTGGCAAAGGGGGTCGCAGACGCCGTATGCATGGTAGGGGTATTACTGCTTTCCTCACGTCCTTAACTGATATGGCTTTTGAAGAAGTTCTTATCGGAGGCAAAGGTCGGGGTCACAGGCGGACCTCCGGTAAGGGAAAAGGGCGGAGGGGCAACCCTAGGGACGCTTCTGGCAATACTATGAAGTGTCATACATGCGGTAGCACAGAGCATTTGCGCGATCAATGCCCGAAGGGGAAAGGAAAGGGATCCGTACATTTGGCTCAAAATTCTTTTATGGATGACATAGATTACATTGACTACGAGTTTTACGTCAATCCAGAAGCGGCTCCCGCCGCGGGCTCCTCCACGTATTACGTGATGGCCCGCTACGCTGAAGCAACTGTAGCCCTGGAAGACTACGCAGTGACCCTCTTCGACGAGTTCCACGGCTGGGACGAGGTCGACGAGGTCGCGTACAATGCTTGGTTCGGTCTTCCAGCGGGGCCACCCGCCGGCGACGAGGTCTCCGAAGCCGAGACCGTCCCGGCAACAGAGGAAGAACTCACCGCCGTGCTGGCCCCGCAAGTGATTGGCATGCCGTTGCTGCCAAATCCTTCGTGGGCTGGTTCGGAGGCGGGAGACGCCGATGACGAAATGCGGGGCCATCCCGCGTATTCCGACTCCGAAGAAGCCGAAGAAGATTATAAGGACATGCTCCAAGAGCAGGTCTCAGAAGCAATCCGACTCCTGAGTGCGCCAGCACATCAGCAGATAACCATGAACGAACTGCTGTCACACCCAGGAGCTGCACGTCTACGTCCATACTTGGATTCGGACATGTCAGCATCTCAGATGCTGACAGCACTCCAAGCTCTAGCGGGGTCACCCGCCGAAGAGACGCCAGACGCAACAGCGGGGCCACCCGCTTGGTCTATGGATGTATTCATGCAAGGTTGTGATCAAATGGACATTAACGACCTCACGATGGAGCAGTTAAACGACATCGGGTACTTCAGAAGCCCGTATCAAAACGTGTTCATGGTCCAGGACAGCTCAGAGGACTCGGAGGACATGCGCTACGCCAAGAGGGACAGACGACCGTCGCCTCCCCGAGACTCAGAGCATGACGATCAAAGGCCAATGGCACGCGGTAGTGCGTCAGCGGGGCCAGCCCGCAGAAGGAGCCGTTCAGCTCCCAGACGCCCTACACATGATGAATCGGGCTATCCATACAGTACTGAGCACTCCGTCGGAGTATCCGCTCAGCATGTGCCGGATTGGTACATCAAATGGTACCCCGGCTACTCGATGGACACGCTTCGCCACTGGTATTCTAAGGAGTACTGCACTAAAAGGGACGAAACTGGCGCGATAATACGTACCAAGGGTGGCAAGACCAAGACGCCAGAGGCTTGGGACAAAAGGGCTAAGAAACAGGAGATCATCAACGATCGCAAGACATACAGGAAACAAGTATGTCAGTGCGAGCCCTTCAAAGGTCACATGCGCAGGTGTCCGATGGACCGCCCCTCCAGGAGCCCTCATCACGGTGAGACCCCGTGGAATTGGTCTCATGGAGATGACGCTGGCAATGTCCATGATCCTAATAAGGAGGTCCCTGGAGGAGGAAAGCGCATCACCGAAGCCGATCGTGTCCCTATGACCGAAGAGGTGGCCAACATCGTCAGGGAAAATTGGGTACAGCTTCCCAATGACCATCGCCTCAAGGAATGGAACCGCCGATTCCATAAAGAGGCGGGGTCACCCGCAGAATCCAGCAAAGAAGCGGGGTCACCCGCAGACGCGGCGCCAGCCGCTGGGTCCGCGGACGACGAGTGGATAGCTGTTGCATCTGCTGCCGGGTCCGCCGCCGGCACAGACCACACCGAACTGAATGAAGAATGGGCGGCGGAAGACGGCTCAGAGAATCCATTCCCTGATGGAAGCGCCTGCTGGTACTACAGCTCTTCGGCGCAGAAGTGGTTTTGCACGAGGGTAATCTATCGCCATGAGAATGGCAAGTACAAGCTGGCCATAAAAGGTACTGCCGACATCGACCAGATGAGGCAGGTCATCCATGATCATGGCCAGCCAGAAGGCCCTCCTAGAGACCCTCCTGGTCCACAACCGGGCAAGGGCAGCAGACCACCTCCAAGACCTAAAGCCGACTCCTCGTCTTCACCGACTCCTGCGAAAAGGCACCCGTCCAAGAGCCCCGAAGGCACGCATGGGCGGGCGAAGGCCAGAGGGATCGCCAAGACGGACGACCCTGAGCCGGCAGATCCTCCCGGTCTGTCCGTGACAGAGAGGAAGAAGGCTTTTGCTGGACCATCGACCCCGATGCCACAGGCGACCCAAGGCGATGTCAAGGACGAAGTTCGCGACAAGCCTCAGGCAGCTTTCCGAGGTGACTGGACTCCAACTCTGCATCAGCCGCGCCTTGCACCACGACCAGGTTCGGCACGAATGAAAGCGCAGCCGAAGCCCGAAGCTGGGATGAGGTCGGTGCGGGCAGAAGCGGCCGCCAAGGCTAAGGAGGACAAGGGCTCTGCGGGGCCACCCGCTAAAGCGGCGCCAGCCGTAGCAGCGGGGACACCCG